CTAGCACCGCTTCTCCCATGCCCCCCCTTTCTCTTCTGGGTTCCTTACAAGCCTCTGACGCAGCCATCAGTGAAACCACAAGGATGTTCATGCGTACAGAAAGGGCCCTGAGCAAAGCAGCAATACATATCAGAACAAGCTTAACTTTAAGTGCACTGTATCACTGACATGTACAAGAAACTCAACCCTACAGTAAGCCTCAAGTCTTTTTTACCATTTCACTGGGCCACAGAGAATTAGGTCTTCATGTCATTCGCGAACTCCAATGAACTTTCCATCAGGCACTGCTTTGTGATGTACCCAAGGGATAGTCTGAACTTGAATTTTGTACTAATGAAATTACTTTGCCGAAGATTTTAATCATCATCTGACAAAGCATCAACTTGTAGGATTCAGCTGGGTTTCCACGCTCCCATGGTAAAGCACTCCTTTAAAGCACCTGATGTGATCAAAATATGGGAGATTGCCACCACAAGCAAACCAAAACAAGCCTATGGCATATGCGTGCTAGATTTAAACCAAACTTGACCGAGCTAAGACAGATAGTATTCTCACATATAGCCTAAAACACTTTGAGAAAGACAAACTAGGTTTTTTTTAAACTTCATTACAAAACCACAATCAAGAAGTCTCCAGTGACACTGGGGCATCCATCCTATGCTAGATAGCAATATTACATTCTTCCACAATGCCCTTCAACTGAGAACTACTAACTAGACTTTCTGTCAAAGCTCACTTCTTTGGCCCTCGTCCAAATATAGATATTGATTTCTTTAACGGCTGCTGTCACACGCATCCAGGTAAATAGATTAGCAACAGAGATGCAGTTTATGCAGTTTCAAGACAAAGAAAAAAAATATTTTCTGCAGAACTTGGAATAAATTACAATATAGGACAGCTCTTTATATACTCTTTGCAATGAGGAAAATTCTGATACTTACTATATTTATGAATCAGGAGCATAGAGACAGGACTTGGAAATTAAGTTCCTCATATAACCCTGATGATTTCATAAAGCATCATATACCTTTCAAACCTGAGAGACGTTAAGCAACGTTAAATATTAATATCTCTTTTGTTACTGATTATAAATTTATCTTTATTGAAGTACAAATAATACAATCCGTATGCCCTCTTCTACTATTCTACTTGTTTTATGCATGTTCCTTGTCAGTTTCTATGTCAGGAATTGAGTGTAGAGCTTCTTTGGCTCTTTAAGTCAAGTGTATCTGAAAGCCTAATCATAAAGCAAAGTAGTTTTGAGGTGAACCTGTAGTCTTCAGTTCTAAATATATGAAAGCTGACTGATTAAATTATTAATATCAGAGATACTGATACTGACCAATAGTTTCACTTAGTAAGACCACCATGCTTCAAATTCTGCTTTACATTTTAAAATGGTACATTTACTTCTCTTTGCAATGGCATATTTTTTTTTAAATAAACCCTCTACAATGAGAATCTCAACAATAGCGAGCTCTTGTTCTTCCCAATCTACTTTGCCTCTCAGATAAGCAAATCTATTGCTATAGGATAACTTCTTAGTCACCTTTCGAAGTCTCTAGCACACATTTAAGTCCATTTCTTTTCCATAGCTACGTTCCCAGCCTGCAGTGCTAATGACTCGAACAGTTCATAAGAAACATTACTCAGCAGTGACTACCAAGGGGATTTCTCAGACTAAGTCACACTCATCTGTGCAAAGTTTTACAAATTCACTCTTTCAATAAAAGAAAGAGAAAAGCTGAAGCTTCAGAAGGACAAGGTTAAGTCCTGCAGTAAATTCCATCACATGGGCATGTTGCTGCTGCTGCTATCTCAGTCCTGTGTGTCCTCTCCTCCTTGCTCTCCCAGACAATTCTGATCTCTGTGAGATACTATCAAAAAATCTACTCCTCCACCTTTGTAAAAGTCTATCTGTAAAATAAAATGCAAACTGAGATGCCAGATTATTTTAATACTACTTTGATTTCATTTTTAACATCTAAAAATATATCAACTACCTTACTTTAAACCTCCAAAGTAAGCTGATAAATATCTTCAAAACCATTTATTTTTTAAATAATAGAAATATCTATTTGAAATTAAAGTATGTTTACTTAGTTGGAAGTACTACAGTGATTTTAAAATGAGGAAATTCTTTACAAAAGGAGGACAGTCTTTTAGAAGCTTGTTATAACAGCAAAAACATCCATGGTGCATATTAACATGCATATTCCTACATGCATTTTACTTCATCAGCTATTCTCTCTAAAAAGTATACTAACCATACTAATTAGGCATGTCAGTAAATCCAAAATTTTGTGAAAATGCAGTAAACCAAAGCAATAGATTGTTTTCATGGCAAGAACATACATGATTCTGTTACTAATTATGCCAGTGCAAAAAAAAAAAAAAAGAGAGGAAGAAAAGAAAGAAATCAAGATATTAAATACTTTAGTTTTCATAGAAAAAGTAACACAGTCTGAAGAGAAATTTTCCTTTGAACTTGCCAGGAGAAACAAACGAAAACTATCAGCATATGGATTTGAGAAAAAGAGCAATGTTGGCATGGTGACCAGACTGGAGGTTCACAAAAATATCTTGTCTTAAACTTCACATAGGTTTTTAAGAAGTTTTTTTGTGTCAAGCTATGTTACAGCACTGCCTGATAATGAAAATAAAACACACCACCACAAAACCCTCTGCCTGCCACACTTCTGCTTTCTTAGTAATATAAACGATAATAGAAGAAAACAGACAAGCACAGAAAATGGCAGAGATTAGAGAACCCTACCAGTGCCTACTAATCAGGTGCTTCCCATGGTTTGCCCAGTCCCTCCTCCGCAAAATTACACCTACAAGTCAGCAGACTCTAGCAGGAGCCAGGGCTGTGCTCTTCCGCAGCTAATAACTCTGCAAGGACTCACTTCCCACAGGGCTATCTGCTAGATGTGGCCAGCTTCTTGACAACACTCAGAGAGTTGCAGTCAACAGTTCGATGTCCAAATGGAGGCCAGTGATGAGTGGCATTCCTCAGGGGTCAGTATTGGGGCTGATGCTGTTTAACATCTTTGCTGGTGACATGGACAGTGGGATCGAGTGCACCCTCAGCAAGTTTGCAGATGACACCAAGCTGTGTGATATGGTCAACACACTGGAGGGAAGGGATGCCATCCAGAGGGACCTTGACAGGCTGGAGAGATGGGCCTGTGAGAACCTCATGAAGTTCAACATGGCCAAGTGCAAGGTCCTGCACATGGGTCGGGGCAATCCCAAGCACAAGTACAGGCTGGGCGGAGAATGGATTAGAGAGCAGACCGAGGAGAAGCACTTGGGAGTGCTGGTGGATGAGAAGCTCAACATGAGCCGGCAATGTGCGCTGGTAGCCCAGAAAGCCAACCGTATCCTGGGCTGCATCAAAAGAAGCGTGGCCAGCAGGTCGAGGGAGGTGATTCTGCCCCTCTACTCTGCTCTCGTGAGACCCTACCTGGAATACTGCATTCAGCTCTGGAGTCCCCAACACAAGAACATGAAGCTGTTGGAATGAGTCCAGAGGAGGGCCACGAAGATGATCCGAGGGCTGGAGCATCTCTCCTATGAAGACAGGCTGAGAGAGTTGGGGCTGTTCAGCCTGGAGAAGAGCATGCTCTGGGGAGACCTTCCAGTACCTAAAGGGGGCCTACAGGAAAGCTGGAGAGGGCCGTTTTACAAGGGCATGTAGTGATAGGACAAGGGGCAATGGCTTTAAACTGAAAGAGGGGAGATTAGATATAAGGAAGAAATTTCTTATAATTAGAGTGGTAAAACACTGAAACAGGTTGCCCAGAGAAGTTATGACTGCCCCATCCCTGGAAGTGTTCAAGGCCAAGTTGGATGAGGCTTTGAGCAACCTGACCTAGTGGAAGGTGTCCCTGCCCATGGCAGGGGGGTTGGAACTAGATGATCTTTAAGGTCCCTTTCAGTCCAAACCATTCTATGATTCTATAACAGCCAGCCAGACCATACTGCAACACTCAGCATTTTCTATATACAAGAGCAAATAAAGCATTCAATGGTGCTTGATTAAAGTCATTCAGATGACTGATGGAATTGCCTCACGAGCCAGCCAGGCGCCAGCCACCTGACATACTTCCCATGGGTGGTTACCGGCTCCTGCAGATATTTCCTTTGCTACCTCAGGTAGTTTTGAACCCCTCTTGGTCCCCTGATCCTCACGACCAGCTCTCAAACTCTCTCGAGGTGTCCCTAACGAGAGCATTTGCGAACAGTGGGATAAAGTAAATAAAAACAATGTCGAAGAAGTTTGAATTTAGTCCCAGCCCCATGTACGAGTTGCAGGACCTTTACAGACTGTTTGCTTCTCCTTTATACAGTGGCTGGTGTTAACAGAGCCTCACTACAAGACTTCCTAAGCACTATCCCAGTCAGCACCAGTTTGCTCAAGTAGATGCTAACATTTAACTGCAGACTGAAGTATGCATTCTAGAAGAAAATTTGAAACAGTTTTGGTGCAGACACCTGACAGGCTGGGTCCATGTAAGACAAGCCCAACTCAGAAATGCAGTGTGGGAAAACCCAGGAAAATCCTGCACAGCCAGGAACCGGCCTAAGCACAGTTCAGTGCTGAAGCCAGCCAAGCTTTGCTCACTCGGCACCACACAGCAGCAGCTGTACGGCCTTTTGGCCACAGTTGGTGAATTCACACTGCACTTTTTTGCGTTTCCTAGCAGTACAGGACTAAGCTTTGCAGCACAAAAAGGTTCTTTCTGTAACACTACTGCATCAATACCTCTAAAATTACAGTTTAATTTTATCAGAGCATACCATTTCCAAAACAGGGGGTTATTTATCCATTTCATCAGATTTTCTCAAGCATCTCCAAAAAATAAAGAGCTGCATCAAAACCAGAGCAAGAACTTCACAATGGCTTTTACAGCTAGCACTAGTGTTTTGGTTCATTCCTCACTTCCTTCATGGTCACGTACAGTATTTAATCAATCGAGACGAGCTCCTCTCACCTCTTGAGGAAGTTCCAGCTTAGACCTGTCATCCAGCCCATTAGAGTGCAAGCCCATGAGGTAAGGAACAGGAGCGTCTAGAAAATGAAGGAGGGATGCTGGAAGGATAGGAACATACACATGCTGCCACTGAAACGGAAACATTAGTGCTGTGATGGTCTCTGCCACAGTCATCAGTCTCTGATAATCTGAAAAAGATTAAGAAAAAAAAATTTCTTTCACAAACATTTTAAAGTAAATTAATCTAAGTTAAAGAAATGAGAGCTTGCTTTAAAACAGAAACCACAAAACCCAGTACTGGCTGAGCAGCATCTTAATGAAAGCCCAGACTTGCACACTCAAGCACATTTTGCTGAAACAACAAAGGGAGCTCAACGCAAAGTAGGTCATTCTACAAGCAAATTGAGTCTTAGCATCCGTTAAGTCACCCTCTGCTACCTATACCAGGGTCACCAGGAGCACCTGTTTGAGTATGGAAGCAGTATTGTAATCAGCTAAGAAACACATGGGAAATAATTTCTCTTCTCTGTGCTTATGGCTTTCTATGGAAGCCTTGGATGAAACCCAAGGCATCTGGTATCTCTCAGATAAACATTTTTTTAAGAGTGTTTAAATGTCTATAAAGCACGCTGTATAGTAGCCAACCCAACAGTGCAACTGAAATAACTGTGTAGAAAAGAAAAAGGATCAGCTTTGTTTATCCTTTGCAATGTATGAC